GATCCCTCCAGATAGATGTCCATTTTATGTAAATATTCATACAAATATTCAGTAAGATTTTTGAGAATGTCTGTCTGCTTGACATAGTGCTGAGTGGATTCCTTCTTTGTGTTCCCTTGTCAGGTGTCCTGATTTCAGTCCATGGAAAGCACACACTCATTGCTAGTGGGATCAGTGCTTCCACCAGCCCGAAGGCCTATCCCCACAGGTTGATGTATGTTTACCATACATCATAGCAAGATTCAGTTTTCTTCCCTAAAACTTGAATGACTTGAATTTTCCAATCTGTTTATCATGAGGGGAACAACTGAAATAAGAATACAAAAAGAAATGTAGGGCGCCTGGGTGGCTCAGATGGTTAAGCGTCTGCCTTCGGCTCAGGTCATGATCCCAGAGTCCTGGGATCGAGTCCCACATCGGGCCCCCTGCTCCGCGGGAAGCCTGCTTCTCCCTCTGCTTCTCTCTCTCTCTCTCATGAATAAATAAGTAAAACCTTAAAAAAAAAATGTAGTGTATTCTCATAAGCCAAAATTAACTACTCTGGAAAAGAATATTAGAACTTTTTTTTTTAAAGATTTTATTTATTTGACAGAGACACAGCGAGAGAGGGAACACAAGCAGGGGGAGTGGGAGAGGGAGAAGCAGGCTTCCCGCGGAGCAGGGAGCCTGATGCAGGGCTCGATCCCAGGACCCTGGATCATGACCTGAGCTGAAGGCAGATGCTCAATGACTGAGCCACCCAGGCGCCCCAGAATATTAGAACTTTTTGATTCTAGGGGCGCCTGGGTGGCTCAGTAGGTTGAGCATCTGCCTTCGGCTCAGGTCATGATCCCAAGGTCCTAGGATTGAGCCCCGTGTTGGGCTCCTGGCTCAGCGGGAGGCTGCTTCTCCCTCTCCTTCTGTGCCTTCCCCAGCTTGTGTTCTCTCTCTCAAATAAATGAATAAAATTTTTTTAAATTATGAGGTCAAATTTACCTCTATTTTTTTGAACTAATGGTACAAATATTTAAATAGTATATATTAAATGGTTACTTTTTTAAAAAGATTTATTTATTTATTTTAGAGAGAAAGAGAGCACGGGCAGGGAGGGGCAGAGGGAGAGGGAGAGTCTTTTTTTTTTTTTAAAGATTTTATTTATTTATTCATGAGAGACAGAGAGAGAGAAAAGCAGAGGGAGAAGCAGGCTCCCTGTGCAGGACTCGATCCCAGGACCCGGGGATCATGACCTGAGCCGAAGGCAGACGCTTAACCATCTGAGCCACCCAGGCGCCCCGAGAGGGAGAGTCTTAAGTGGAGTTTGTCCTGGTGTAGAGCCCAAGGCAAGGCTTGATCTCATGACCCTGAGATCACTACCTGAGCTGTAACCAAGAGTCAGACACTTAACCAACTGTGCCACCCAGGCACCCCAATAAATGGTTTCTTAATAAGTTGGTAATTTATATTTATCAGTAAAAATATATCCATACACATATGTGTGTGATTTGTTTTAGAAGCTTTTTTTTTTTTTTTAAAGATTTTATTTATTTATTTGACAGAGAGAGAGATAGCGAGAGCAGGAACACAGGCAGGAGGAGAGAGAGAGAGAGAAGCAGGCTTCCCGCGGAGCAGGGAGAAGCTTCTTGTTCTGTGTCCCTGACTTTCCTATTTTTTTCATTTTCAGTATAAAATGGTACTACCCATTATCTTAATTTCCCATGACTTTTTACTTATTTTTATAATTCTGATATTTTATAATTAGGAAATGTTAGGAACATTACCAAAATATTTATATTGGAGTTATGTTAAATAATGTATTTATATTATAAAAATATGTTTACATATATTATCTTGTGCTATACTTTGTCTCTGCTGTTATTTACTTCTGATCTTCATAGTTTAATAGAGTTTTAACTTTTGCTTCCATTTTCCTTAAAATTACCTCATTTTAGTGTTATTTTTGCCAAATTTTAATTACTAGGCTTATTTTTGAAATTTATCAATACCAACTGATTTTGCCAAAACATGGTAAGTAAAGGATTTTAAGATACTTTGCAGGAATTTTTGTGCTAAATGTAGCCCTTGGATTCTTTAATTGAAATATTTAATGTGAAAATTGGCAAGTTACATGCAGTTGTAAGAATTGTTACAGAGAGATCCTGTGTATGCTTTACCCAGTTTCTCCACTGGTAATATTTTCCAAGACCATATTATAATATCACAACAATGAAATTGGCTTTGATACTATCTACTGATCTCATACAGATTCCTCTAGTTGTACATGGTGTGTGTGTTTCTGTGTGTGTGTGTGTGTGTGTGTTCATTCTGGAGCATAGATTTTTACTTAAGAATATATTCTGGAGAAAAAAAAATATATTCTGGAGGAAAGTCCACAGAGTTAGTTGTGCTGTCATGGAATGTATATGTTCCTGAAAACCACCAAGCTATGCAAAATCCAAAATAAAAATCACAGGGCTTATTGAGATCCTCAAAATGTAATCAGTAAAACATAAAAAAAGAAGATGGAATCCTAATAAATGCCATAGCACAATTTTACACATGTTAAAAGTTTGAGAAACACATAATGTAAGTACAGCATTTAACCTTAAAAGCCTGAAATTTGTTTGTGGAAGTGGGTGTCAGAGGGTTGCAGTTGTGAGTTATTTTATGAAGTAATGGAAGGAAGGTTACTTAAAATCAGTTGCCTAAAATTCACCCACCAGAAGTGAATGGGTTTGGCTCATAATACATGGTGAATTGGCATAGCCAGTAGATGCTTGACTTCTGTCCTTATGTGTGGCTGGTGGCTTGAAGGGAATAGGCAGCAAGACGTCCCTGTAGGAAGAAAGTTCATAGGGTTGGGCCAAAACATGGTCATGTTTGTCCTTTAAACCTATTGCAAGAATCGAGGTTTTAATTTGTAAAGAAGCGTGTATTGAAAGGTTTGGAAAGGGAAGTGACATGATTTTACTTGGGAAAGATCAATCATTCTGGCTACTATTTAAAGATTAGACCATAAATCAACAAGTAAAGTAGGGAGATCATTGAGAGACAGCTATAATAAATCAGGGGTGAGGAGATGGTAGCTGGATCAGCTATTAACATATTTAGTAGGGAGATACAGATTTTTTTGTCCTTTGAAAGTAAGTAGCACATGATTTGTTCATGACTGCTATGAGGGACAAGGGAGAACATGGTTAAGGGTGACCTCCAGGTTGCTCTGAGGACCTAGGATAATGGTGCTGTTATGAACCAAGATGGTGACTACTGGAGACAGCAGATTCAAGCCCATCTGGACATGCTGAGTAGGTGAATAGAGGTATGGGTTAGTTCCTGGAGGAAGTGTGACATATAGACGTAAACTTTGGAGTCATAAGTACAGAGAGAATGTCATCAGACACGAGCCTGGTTGAGGTTCCCCCATTGTAGTGAGTGTACATAGAAAAGAAGGGAGATCAGGGCGCCTGGGTGGCTCAGTCGGTTGAGCGACTGCCTCCGGCTCAGGTCATGATCCTGGAGTCCCGGGGTCGAGTCCCGCATCGGGCTTCCTGCTCAGCGGGGAGTCTGCTTCTCCCTCTGACCCTCCCCCCTCTCATGCTCTCGGTCTCTCATTCTCTCTCTCGCAAATAAATAAAAAATTTAAAAAAAAAAAGTGAGATCAGAGACCTGAGCCTCATGTGGTGCTCTCATTGGTGCTCCCATTTGTGCTCCCCTCTTCCTCCTCTCCTGTCCCCTTTTTGCCCTTTTCCGGCTACTTGATCTCCTTCCACCTCACCGAGCTTTTTCTCATCTCTTTTTGGCACTTTCTCTACCTTCGTGTTGGATTGTTTTAACCTGGCTCTCCCCGTGACTAGTCCTCATTTGTCTCCTTAGTGTCAACTTGGTTATCACCTGCACAAAGTGGCTGCCCACACCCAGAAAACAGAAAGGAGCTCCTTTCCCCCTCCTTTCAGTTTAAACAGTTACGCAACTCCTGTCTCAATTTAATTTTTATTCCCTTCTAATCCTCCCTTTCCTCTCCCTCGTTAGTTTTACTGATACATCTAGAGCAACAGGAGAACAAGAAGCATACATTTTGTTATTATGACCTAATAACAAATGGTAGCTACTATCATTGGCCATGGTAGTGAGTTGTGCCACTATCATTTTGTAAAAAGAATATATTTCAGGATATGGAGTAAGAAATAGACTATGGATAAAACAGTACTCACTGGGTTGGATACAATCACTGATAATTTAGGCAGGAAAGATATTTTCCGAGGGAACCGGAGCCTGGTTTACCCTTGTCCACCTGCTCTAGAGTGTCCAACGTCCATTCCTCCCCTGTTTTCATTGCCATGACCCTGTCCGGAGGCTTCTCTCCTAGCCCCTGACCTAAAATTCTGAAACTAACAAAACCGACTCCAAAGAAAAGCAATAGCATGATGTTTATTAGCTTCCGGCTACGACGCGAACGCGTTTTGTACCGAGTAACGATGGAATGCTACGTCCATTTGGATCCGTGTCCTTTTGAGGGCATCTGAAATAATATTTTTGGCCTCTGAAGCAAGCTCGGCTCCGTGGAGTCTGAAATAACATGTTTCTAAACACTTTGGCGATCTGTTGCAACAACGTACCCGGAAGTATGGGTGCTGATCTTCCCTGAGGAGGCAAGCTCCAGGCTCTCGTTGGCGAGGCCATTTCCTGGCCATCCTCGGCGGAGCCGCCTGCCTTGCCCCGGAGGTAGGTGTGGGTACATCCCTCGCCGAGGTCTGCAGAGCTGTCGGAACTACATTACCCAGAATGCTCTGTCCGAGCGCCTGGCGGCGCTGAGCCAATGAAGGCTCAGGAGAGGGCCCTTCTGTGCAAGTACGTCATATTGGGGCGGGACTTCTGGCGTCCTCTTCTTGGCGGTCACTTTGGCTTTTCGGGGCTTACCGTGGTTTAGAGATACTGCGGCGCTGGTTTGGGAGTGAGCTGACGGGGTCAGAGAAGGGTCGGGAGGAGACGCTGTCCCCACCGCACAGATTTGGGTCCGCGGCTCGGCGACGCTGCCCAGACTGCCCGCGCCAGGGGCCGGGACGGGGACCGCCGGTTCGGGTGTCCGCTCCGCCACAGAGTCCGATGGCGGCGGCCGCGTCCAGGGACGCGGCTCAGGTAAGCGCTCGTCCCCCGGGCCCTCCCTGCCCTCCCCCGCATGGATATTTATTAGTATCAATAAAACCAATGAGGGACCCGAAAGGCCCGAGCTGCTCGCGGCCCTGCGGCCCAGGCCCCGGCGTCGGACGGGGCGGCGGCGGTGGGCGGGGGCCGCGTGTGCGAGCGCCGGCGTGGCGGCGTGAGGAGCGGGCTCCGGGCCGGGGGCCCTGAGGCGGGAGGAGGCCGGAGGGAGGCGGGAGGAGGCCGGAGGGGGCCTGAGGCGGGAGGAGGCCGGAGGGGGCCTGAGGCGGGAGGAGGCTGCCCGCAGGGGACAGCGCGTGAGGCGGCGTCGCGCCGGGACTGGCGGGCCGAGGTGCCGTACCTCCAGGTGAGGACTCCAGGCGCCAAGGGGCCTTTCGGCCGCAGGAGGGACCCGATCTCCTTGAGGGTTTTAAGTTTCCCGAAGGTTGCTGGGAAAGAGAACAGACGGGAAGGGGGTTGATGAGGACGGTGAGGTGCCGGGAGGTGACGTTCTTGTGCAAGGTCACCTCCCTGGTCAGAGTCCTCTCTGAGGCACAAAGGTTAGACAGGCAGCGGAGCTCGCCTGGCTCCAGGGCTGGGCAGGAATATAGGGAGATGGGAGCCCGTGGAGCCCGGCCATGGCTGTCTTCCTCTAGGGCCTGTCTCTTCACAGGTTTCTGTCAGTGAAGAAATGCTCAGGAGGCCAACACGGGTCAGTGGAGGGTCTCGGTCCCTTACTGGTCCTGACCCCTGCCAAGTGGCTTCTGGGATTAAGGCGTCCGCGGACTCTGTCGGCCGCGCTCCCGCTCCTAGTGTCTGGGAGACCTTGGAGAGACTGCAGGCACAGAGGCCCGAGTCTAGGCTGAGGGTTATATGGAGGGGTGCTTGTTTCTGGCAGCCAGATGAAAGAGGGGCGGAGGGTTATCCTAGGAACCGGAAGCGGTGCAAGTGCTTGGAGGCAGCTGGGAGTGTCAAGGGAACTGAAGATTTCCCCCCTTTTTTTTTTTTCCCTCATGGAAACACGGTGACAGGAGCAGGGCTGGAATGGCTGCCCTTGAGGTCACTTGTCAATTCTGGAGGTAATGGGAGGTTTGATTAAGAGTAAAGCGACCTTTCCAAGGTTTTCACAGGCCTCGTGTGGCTGCACAGTGGAGAATGGACTCTGGGAGAAGGGGGGGGAGAAGGATGACCAGGAAGGAGGCCGCCGTAACGGGCCAGGTGAGGCTTGTTGGATGTAAATGGTGGCCATCGAGGTGGGAGAAGTGGTTGGATCCTGGACTCTTTTTTTTTTTTTTTTAAAGTAGGGCCAACCAGACTTTTTGATGTGGACAGAAAGGACAGAGTCGGGGATAACCCCAAAGGTTTTGGTCGTAACAGCTGGAAGGATGGAAGTGCCACCACCTGAGATGGGATAGTCAGTAATGGGTACAGTTTTCAGTGGGGTATCAGGAGGTTTGTTTCATTTCAGAGACTGTTGAGTGGAGGCATTAAGTGGGCAGTTGCACACACAGTTTGGTAGGGAGGGGGTTTCGGGATGGAGCCGTCCCAAAGGTGATTGCTGCAGTGTCAACCAGGGTGGAGCTGTGGGTTGCATTGAGGAAGGGGAATCTTCAGGTCCTGGTGGTGATACTGTTAGCAGTCCAAGAAGAAGATGGTGTGGGCCAAATACGGGACCTCTGGCTTGGACACCTGGTTGAAGGTGGACGGTATTGGGTACACAGGTGAAGGAGAAGAGTGGCTGGCAGGGAAGTGTGGGTAGGAGGATGATCTGGCAGGTAACCAAGATTTCCAAGGGAAAAGTGGACCTGACAGAAAATGTGGAGGCACAGGAGTAATTGAGGCAGGATGATGTTTCCCAGGACTTTGTGGTGACCCTTGGGTAGGGCATGAGATGTTTCAGTCAGGATGGTAGGTTATTTCAGAGTCCACTGTGGTCATCTATGGGTTATTAGGCCTGGGATAGGGAACCAGTGGGGCTGAGTTTTGAATGAGGTTTAGATGTGACTGGAGAGGACAGGAAGGGCAGCACAGAAGTTGAAGAGGACCAGAGATATCTGAGATGTGCATGTGGTTCTGGTTGGTGAGGTTGAAGCAAAGAACAGGGCTAGCTTTCTCTCTATGAAGGGGAGGCTTTCCTAGCAGGATTCTGGAGTGCCCTTGGTAGTGGAAGGCATTGGAGGTCTGGATAATATTGGATTCCATTTGAGTTTGCCAAGCAAGCACTGTCAATCTAGGGAGATGCCTGTGCTGTGGGGCAAGGGGGTAGTTGTGGTGGTGGAGAGAGTGCATCTGTGGGCTCCAGAGACGTAAAAGGTACAGTCTGTACATCACAGCTGCAGTGATGTGCATGTGGAGAGGGACTGTGAACCAATGGCCCCAGGGTTCTGGTACTGGGGACTTAAGGTTGAAGGGAAAGCCCAAATTTGGTTGAGTCTGGGACACTTAGTCTGGAGGACTGCAGGGGTATTGCTTGGCAGGAGCTTTGGGGCCCTCCCTATGTGCCATGCCCAGAGTTTAGATGGTGTTTATCTGATGATGTGCTGTTGTTGCTGAGGGTTGTACACAGTGAATAATGGGACCATGAGGAGAGACCACCAATGGTGCCTATGGCGTGATTTTTGTGGGGGAAGAAATTGTAGGTCCTTGGGACAGGGGCTCTTTGGGGTTTCATCTGTCTCTGTCCTGACAGGACAGTGTGACATTTGAAGATGTGGCTGTGTACTTCTCCTGGGAGGAATGGGGTCTTCTTGATGAGGCTCAGAGACGCCTATACCATGATGTGATGCTGGAGAACTTTGCACTTGTGACCACCCTGGGTAAGGCCCTCATTCCCTCCCCAGGGACCTGGGCTTTCTACTTTTATCCCAGGGATAGCTCCCTATTTCTCCCATCACAAACATGGACATTGCTTCCTTCCACAGCTCCCTGGTTAGTTGGAGTCCTTAGGGCTAGGTTGAGTGCACTGCACCATAGCCTCACTGGGGAGGTATTCAGGGTCAGAAGGTTTTGCCCCCTTCCTATAGGTGATGACATTTCCTGTCCCTGCCTGCTCCAGGAATTGTAGTCACTGACATGGTCAGTACTTATGTGGACTACGGGCAGTTCTTATAGGATCCTCCTCTGAGGATTTTTTTTGTAATACTAGTTTTCTTTCCTATGGTCTGTTATGTGTTGAGTTGCTCTGGGCCACTGCTGGTCACTCATCTCTCCCACCTTTCCCTTAGAACTTGCATCATGCAGGTCCCATTTAGTTCCCGAACCAGGGGATATGGAGGAGAGTCCTGGGTGTTTCCCAGGATGAACATGACTCCAGCCATAGCAAGGTGAGCTCAGAGGAGCCCTGGCTCTGAAAAGTGTTAAGTAGGAGAGAACTCATCTGTGTTCAGATGATACCAGAAACCTGTCCTGTTCCACTGGTGGCCATTGGCCACCTTGTTTCTGCTTCTACTTCCCCATTCTTGACACTTGCTAACTTGTCCTTTCTGCTCTGAATTTGGTTAATTCCCACCTCTCTGGACTCCACATGTCACCAGTTTCTCTTACTGCTTCCTCTGTAGTGCTTTCTCACATCGTCCTACACATTCTGTGTCATGAAGTGTGCACATATCCTCACATAGTTTTTTTTTTTTTTTTAAGATTTTATTTATTTTTTAGTGCACGAGCAGGGAGAGGGGCAGAGGAAGAGGGAGAAACACTCCCCGCTGAGCAGGGAGCCCAATGCGGGACTCTATCCCAGGATCCCGTGATCATGACCTGAGCTGAAGACAGATGCTTAACCGACTGAGCCACCCAGGCGCCCCTACTCACATAGTTCTTAAGCACCAGCTCTCTTGCACTTGGATTTTCCTGAGCTTAGATACACCTTTCTGCAGTTGTCAGCAAGGATTTACTGAAAGCCATTAGCAGAGAAATGAGCTATAGATCCTGCTGCCCCTCTCTGTGCCACATCCCATCCTTGTGTTCTTCACCCGGAGAGGCCTCCCTCACTGACCTGTAGAGGTCCAGTACTAAACAGCAGCAGCTGCTGCTTTTTTTTCTTAAGGTTTTATTTATTTGAGAGAGCGAGCGCACAAGTGGGGGGGGAGGGGCAGAAGGAGAAGCAGACTCCCCACTGAGCGGGAAGCCTTATGAACCATCCAGGTGCCCCACAGCAGCAGCTTCTTTACCCTGACCCCAGCTCCTTCATCCTGGAAACAGTGCCATCCGCACATTCGTTGGTGCGTTGGACACACATTTATGATGGTGTTGCCTCTTCCCACTACTGCCTATGTCTACTTCACTAGAATTTCTCTGCTTTCAGGTTGCTGGCATGGAGCAGAGGATGGGAAGGCACCTTCAGAGCAGGCTGCTTCTATAGGAGTGTCACAGGTCAGGACTCACCATGCAGGTTCATATCCCCAGAAGGCACACCCCTGTGGGATATGTTGTCTGGTCTTAAAAGACATTTTGGGTGTGGCTCTGCATCAGAGAACACGTCCCCAGTTGAGATCTTACACATGTAGGAAACAAGTCTGTTTCACTGCGAACCTTCACCAGCATGGGAAGCAGCATAGTGGAGAGAAACTGTTGAAATGGGCTTCATTTGTGAAGAGCTGTAGGTCCCATGTGTCAGGGAAGTCCTTTACCAATGGGGAGGTTGATAAGGATTTCCTCGCCAGTTCAGGCCAGCACCAGCACCAGGCCACTCATAATGGGCAGAAACCACACAGTTGCACCGTGTGTGGGGAAGCTATTAACAGTGGGAAGAGCCATTGCAGTTGGTGTGAATGCAAGAAAACTTTTAGCCACAAATACACTCTTGCTGAACGCCTGAGTGTCCGCACTGGAGAAAGGCCTTATGAGTGCAGTGAATGTGGGAAATCCTTCACCCGAAGGTTTAACCTCTTCCAGCATCAGAAAGTCCACACCGGAGAAAGGCCCTATAAATGCAATGAATGTGGGAAATTCTTCACCCACATCTCCAGTTTCATTCAACACCAGAGAATTCACACAGGGGCAAAGCCTTATAAATGCAGCAGATGTGGGAAATTCTTTGGCCAGAGCTCCAGCCTTATTGTACACAAGAGAGTTCACACTGGAGAAAAGCCTTATGAGTGCAGTGAATGTGGAAAATCCTTTAGCCAAAGCTCCAGTCTCATTAAACATCAGAGAGTTCACACTGGAGTGAGGCCTTATGAGTGCAGTGAATGTGGAAAATGTTTTGGTGACACCTCCAGCCTCATTAAACACCGTAGAGTTCACACTGGAGAGAAACCTTATGAGTGCAGGGAATGTGGGAAATTTTTTAGCCAAAGTTCTGGCCTCATTCAACACCAGAGAGTTCACAGTGGAGAAAGACCTTATGAGTGTAAGATATGTGGGAAATCCTTTACCCGCAACTCTGACCTCTTTCAACACAAAAGGGTTCACACTGGAGAGAGGCCTCATGAGTGCAGGGAATGTGGAGAATTCTTCAGTGACACCCAGTTTGCTCAACACCAAAAAATTCACATCAGAAAAAGGTCTCATGAGTGCAACAAATGTGCAAAAGCTTTCAGCCGAAGGTCTAACCTCATTAGACACCAGAAAGTTTACCACCACACGGAAAGGCCATATGTGTGCAGCAAATGTGGGAAAGCCTTCAGTCAGTGGTCTGCCGTGATTCAGCACCAGAAAGTTCACAATGCAGATCGGCTTTATGAGTGCAGTGAATGTGGGAAAGCCTTTAGCCGAAGGTGTAACCTCATCCGACACAAAAAAGTCCACACTGGAGAGAGACCTCATGAGTGCAGTGAATGTGGGAAAACCTTCAGCCGAAAGTCTCACGTCATTGGGCACCAGAAAGTTCACACAGCAAAGCCATAGCCATGCAAGAAGCAGGCTTTCTACGTGTTTGATATAATGCCATGGGAGGAGAGCCTTTGTGAGGGAGACATCTTCCTGAAGTTGAACTCATACATCTGAATATACACCACAGGGAAGATTCCCTGTAAGTTCCAGGTATGTGGGAAGCTTCTAGGAACCATATTGCACTTCCTAACCAGCTTGGGCTCCTTGCTGAAATTGTGTGACTGCCAGTTTTCGTAGTATAAGTCAGCTCTACTGCCTAGAAAGGCCCCCATGGTATGCATCAGTTACCCCACTGTTTAGGGAAGTAGATCTCTGTGTTCTGTCTGGAGAAAATAATGAGCAGCCTGAGCCTTTAGAGTAACATCATTCCCTTTTCTCTAATTAATGTGTATATCTGATCCAGTTTTCTCCCAGAACACCTTATCTGGGTTCTACTGGTGGCTTGCAGAGAAGGTTTGTCTTCAAGGACATTGTTTTCATATGACACTTGTGATGGATTTTTCCATTCTCCATGTCACCAACCCATAAACTGCCTGCCTGACCTTGCTATGATTTGTGCAATAATAAAGGCCTTATTGTTTAAGCCACCTTTAATCTTGGGGGTTGTATTCACTAGCTGGTTGCTTTGAAAACATCATGAAGGGGTAAACAGCTTGTGTGACAGTTCCCAACTTTGGGAGGGCAACAGGCTTTGTACAACTAACATGCAGCCTGGAAGCCAAGATTTTTTTGTGGGCCCAAAGGTCACATTGAGGAGCGGGCACTTGTGACAATCCCCAGTGTTTCTGGGATTGGTTCCTTTGTTTATAGTGCATATCATGTAATGACCACACAGCTAAGGGGACTCTCTTCCCCAGGTCCTTCAGAAGAGTCATGTGCCCTGATGCCCAGAATTTGGTAGGGTAGTGTCACTGGTTTTAACACTAAAGGGCTCAGGGGGGATCATAATTGATTAGAAACATTGGGTTGATAGGGAGTGCTGGAGCCTGCAGTAAACTAGATGGAACATCCCTCTTCTAAAAGTGCACCCACAGCTATTCCAGCATCTCTGGCTGTGTTGAGTGAGCATGTACCTCCTGGTCTGTGTATCTTGAATAGCTGAGGTCATTGGCAGAGAAATTAAGGTTTTGTGGATTCCTGTAGCTTTCTGGCCTGTTGACCTTAAGACTGCACATTCAGGAAAACAAGGTTAGAGAGAAGGGAGATCTCTTAGTCTAGTGATATGGCCTTTGTGACTAAGGTGGAAACATCCTCTATTGTTCACCAATATTTGCTATCACTGAGGTAAGGCATCCCTCCCAAAGCATTAGGAGAGAGGTGGTAGAGATAATAGAAGGATGCCAAATTTGATTTTTTTTTATAAGGAGTGGGAGAGATCCTTTTATTTTGAACCATTGCTTAAAGCTTTAAGTTATAATGACATACAGTAAACTGCACATATTTAAAATGTATAATTTGATAAGATTTGATGGTATAATCCACAAAATCATCATAATTGTGATAATGAGCATATAAGTCCCACACATATTTACCTCATAATTTTTATTAATCTCTCTCCCTGCCCTCTCTGGCTGTCTGGGCAAACTTGGATTTACTTTCCTTTACAGTAGACTACATTTTCTAGAATTTTATATGATTGGAATCATAAAGTATTTATTTTTTTCCCTGTTTCATATATACTGCATCATTACCTTGAGATTTTAAAAAGTTCATTCCTTTCATTGCTGAATCATATTCTGTTATATGGACATACCGGTATTTGTTTTTCCATATATCTGTTCCTTGGCATCTGGGTTTGCAGGTTTTGGCTATTACAAATAAAACTTCTGTGAAGGTTCATGTATAAATCTTTATACTGATACATGTTTCATTTTTCTTGTGTTAATATGTCTGAGTGCAATGCCTGAATCATAGGGTAGGTGAATGTTAACTTTTTAAGAAATTACCAAACTGATCTGAAATGGTTATTTTTTATATTTCCTACGAACGGTATATGAGAGTTTCACTACCTTCCTAGTTCCTGTGAGACATTGGAATTTCCACTTAATCCCTCCCTCCATAGGGTCCATCTGCAAGGATATAAAACCACTCACAGCCAGGCTTGAATACGCTCTTCAGCAACTGAGTCCCACTGCACATGTTGCCTGTAACCTGGTCCCTTTGATTTGGTGGTTCCTATGTGACAGGCATAGCAGGAGGTGACAGAATGTTTGCTGACTTTCTTATGCTATCTGTGTAAGGAATAATCTTTCTCAATCCATTTGGGCTTGTGGTTTCCTTACCAGCCTACCTATGGCAGATTGGCAAGCAAAACCTAGCAGCTGCATAAAGATTGTTTGACTGCTTGACACCACACCTTTCATTACCATGACTTTCTAGTTTCTTCATATCTAGTAAAGAAGTCACCTTTTGGCTTTCTCTTTCAAAGTTACCTGTAAGCAAAACCATTGTAAAAGGGGCTATGTATAACACTGGAGAAACATCTTTTGTAACAGACTAATATATCTATTAAATAAAGTGTAATAGTTATTTTCAAAGTGAGGAGGACGTTAGTAATATAGTACAATATAAAAGTTGTGATAATGTGGGAATATTAGACATTGAATACAGTGGTTTCATAAAGTACACAATAAGGAGAAATAAATTTCTATACAACTAAAATTAAAAATATCAGGGATGCCTGGCTGGCTCAGTCAGTAGAGCATGCAGCTCTTGATCTCTGGGTTGTGAGTTCAAGCCCCACATTGGGTATAGAGCTTACTTAAAAAAAAAAAAGATTTCTCTCAGATGGAGAAAATCTTAAAGCAGTCAGAAAGGGGTAAAGCCAATGGAAATTTTAAAGGAAAGCTAAAAATCTAAAACATTAAAGAAGAAACAGACATATATCTAGATAATACAACACAAAGAAGGAAAAATTACAGAGGGGGCATGTTTAGAACAGGGAAACACATGCTGCCTAGGCCCATTGTAATAAGGAAAATCAAGGACCGGAGAAAGTTATACACATGTACAGTGAGAGAAATAGAGGAACCAAAATCAGCTTGAGCCCATTCCTTTTCACAATTCGTGAGTGTAAGTGTACCATGAAATAAAAGCTTTTAAAATATTGAAGTAAAAATTATATATACCAAGAATATCCTCAGCCAACCAACAGACACATGAAAAGTTGCTCAACATCACTAATCATCAGAGAAATGTGAATCAAAACCACAATGAATATCACCTCACACCTGTCATAGTGGCTAAAATAAAAAACACGGAAAACAAGTATTGGCAAGGATGTGGAGGAAAAGGGAACTGTTCTGCCCCATTGGTGAGAATGCAAACTGGTTCAGCCATTGTGGAAAACAGTTTGAAGATTCCTCAAAAAATTAAAAATTAGAATTACCATATGATCCAGTAATTCCACTACTGAGTATTTACCCAAAGAATATGAAAACAGTAATTTGAAAAGATAGACACACCCTATGTTTATTGTAGCATTATTTACAATAGCCAAGATATGGAAACAACCCAGGTGTCTAGATGAATGGATAAAGATGTGTGTGTGTGTTTGTATGAAAATGTACACATACTGGAATATTACTCAACCATAAAAAAGAATGAATTCGTCCCATTTGCAACAGCATGGATGTACCTAGAGGGTATAATGTTAGGTGAAATAAGTCAGAGAAAGACAAATATGATTTCACTCACGTGGAATTTAAGACAGAAAAAAAGACAGACGTTTAAGTATAGAGAACAGACTGGTGGTTACCAGAGGGGAGGTGGGTGAGGGATGCATGAAATAGGTGACGGGGATTAAGAGTACAGTTGTGAGCATTGAGTAATGTATAGAATTGTTGAATCACTATATTGTACACCTGAAACTATTATAACACTGTACTTTAATTGTACTGGAATTAAAATAAATTAATTGAAAATTTTTTTAATTTAAAAAGGACAGAAAAGCAGAAATTTTTAAAAAATATATCCTCAGCCAATATGCCATTTGAAAGAAAAAGCAATAAAAATATTTGTGGGCATATTAAACTTGGGAATTTATTTTTCCAAACTGGGAATTTACCACAATGACTGTCTTAAAAACAAGTATTCAGACAAGACAAACCAAGCAGGGTGGTGAAATAGGGCTGGCATGTAAGGATAATCCATATCTTGATAATGTTTTTTTATTATCTAAAAGAAAAAATAATTTTGTACATATAACACAGTTTAAAAGTAAATTCTGGTATAGTTGGTAGTTTTAAGAGAAAAAGTCTTCTGAGTGCTGAAATGCTTTTGAGTTTTCGTTTTTCTGATTTTTGTTACAGTTGTCGAACTTGACAATAGGTTTTTAAAACTCAGAACTCACAGAAAAATAAGGCACGTTTAGAAGATATAGAGAAAAAAAGATAAGGTGGATTGTTCTTTCAGAAGCTAGGACCTGTTATAAAACTAGAAATGACGACAATTTGGTATTAGATATTTGCAGAGAGCTACACGTACAGAACAGTGGAGACCATGTAGAGCTTAGAAGGAGATCCATATACATCTGGACATCCACACCTAGTGTGGAAGGAAACTGTTGCTCCAAAGAAATATGTTCTGATGTGCATCAGAACACACGAACAAACACTTTTACAGCTGCATTCTTGTTATTGCAACACCCGAAAGCAATACGAAGGTCCATCAGTGTAGAATAGAGACAGATTATGAAATGGTGCCCTGAGCAGCAATGAAAATGGATGATACAGACACATTGAACAGCGTGGGTGAATTGTACTGACATTCATTGGGCAAAAGAAGTAAGATCAAACAAACACACAGCATATGATTCCATTCATATAAATGTCAATGATATACAGAGCCAAACTCTAGTTTTAGGGTTTATGCATAGTAAGGAAAACTATCAAGAAAATCCAAAAGGTGCTGACTTTAAAATCTGGATGTTGGATTACTCTTGGAGGAGGTGCAGACTGTGTCTGGGATGGAGTACTTGACATGGCAGGGCACTACTAGCATTCTTTGTATTTCACTCAGTGACAGATACAGAGGCATCTATTTTAGGAACATTTGTTAAATTCTAAATATCTACAAATTCCCTGTACTAATGTTATATATAACAATAAGAGTATAAAGAAAAATGGGATAAACATAAGTGTGGTCCTTAAGTGATAGCACCAAAAAACAATAAAATGAAAGAATTTAATGGAGATGAATTACATATAAGCTGCCCAGAGAGCAGAAAAGAGAAAAAAAAATTGGAAATGGAAAATGAAGAAAGAGAAAGTTGGGTATTAGGTTTAACTAGCAGGTTTCTTTCTAATGAGGTCTCTCATGAGAGGCAAGGCATGAAATATAAACACAAAATCAGTCAGTATCAGTATGAAGTCCTCACAGACCCAGAGAATGATTGCTTGGCTGAAAATCAGGTGAAATACAGATCAACCCATAAAATGCAAAAGAAAAAACTTTCCCAAAATGATTCACTCAGCTTCAAAAACAGGATGATCACAGTTATTTGGATACAAAGTATTTCCATTAAGAACATGGTCTAGAACTTGGACAAAGAGTTTGAGTCAAGTTGTACCATGGAATGATGGTTGGAGTTTATAGGTTGTAAATCTGTTTTCTCATCTTCAGATGGACATGAGGATACTTAGCTTATAGCTGAGTTGTATGAATAACTTGTTAGTAAAACCATAGAAATAAAATAATTTCAGACCCACTCTTAGAAAATACGAAATCTGCTGCAGAACCTACAGACCAATAAGGTCAGGGGACAGACATGCAGGTCAGGAAAGAACTGACAGCAGGCATTAGAACAGGTCTGGGAGAGCTCACTGTGAGGTGTGTCTGTCTGAGTCAGCGGTGGGGTCATCAGAGATAAGGAAATTGCTGTATCTTTTGTTAACTTCATTGATTAACTGTACGAATTAGGTGTTGTTGGGCTAAGGTTAAGTTTTATATAGAGTGTGTTCTAATCAACTATTCAAGAATTAATTGGTCTAGGAATTACTACTTTAGGACTACAGAGGACAGAAGTTAGTTGGTGACTCTCTAGGTAATTAGAAAGCATTTAAATCAGGATGGTTTAGAGAAACACACCCTGACCCGATAGTGGAGCCTGTGAGTGGATGTTGTGGGAAGGATAGGGCCTTATCACAGACTATGGTGTAAACTTAAGCTCAAGAAAGCGTTGCACAGTGCATGAATTTTTTATAAAAATTAATTGGACTTGAGGCCTATAAATGTCATCTTTTTCTGTGTGTAAATAATAAAAGGCTACATATTCTCAAAGATAGCATTCAGTCCTAGGATTTATCAAAATTAACTATAAAATAGTTGTAAAATTGCCTGGACTCCTCAGGAAAATTAAAAGATTAAATTAAAATCCTTAAAGACAATATGAACAGCCTGAATTAAATAGAGGAAAAGAGATCACTGGGGAAAAAAACACTTATATTTAATAGTAAATACGAGAAATAGAGTGAAAATGCTTACTTACATTCTTGAAAGTTTACCTTTTGTTTAAAGTAAAAGCCAGTGATTGAAAATTGGAAACTCTAGGTTTGTAAGTATACCATGAAATAAAAGCTTTTAAAATATTGAAGTAAAAATTATGTATACCAAGAATATCCTCAGCCAGCCAGCAGACACATGAAAAGTTGCTCAACATCACTATTAAACCAAAATATTTTAATCA